CGGGGGGGGGGGGAGGGGGGGCGAACTCATGTTTGCATATCTTAGTTGTGTAGACCGTTGACCGATTCCATCAGGATCACACGACTGAGAAACAATCACGTGGCGCCATTGTCGCGCACGCCCGATCTGTCGCACACCACGGTATCCCGACGCCGCGCCCCTGCAGAGCCCTTTGTTTAGTTTTTCACCTAACCCACCACCTGGGCAGTACGGAACAAGACAGCAATGTGACCATGGTGTATCATCTCTCCTGTAGTATTCCCCCATCCCGCATAAACACATCGACCTCCATGCGACTCGCCGAATGCCTCACGGCGTTTCGCGGTGATGTGCTGGCCTGGTCCGGTGACAGCCCGACGTGCTCAGTCCCCGCTTTGCAGACAGGATGCGAGGTCACTATGGTCTATAACGACTACGCCATGCTATGAGTACACCCCCCTCCACCTACCCCACACCTCTTCTTCCCACCCTGCGCCGCTTCTTCTTCTTCTTCTTCTTCTCTCTCGCCCGCGCCAGAATCATGGAGTACGACCGCATGTTCGACAGGTACGAGATGGTGGAGAGGCCCAACGACCACACCTCCGTGCGGTGGACGTGCTACCAGGCCATCTGGCCGACCCGACCCCGGGACTTCGTGATCCGCAGCACCTGGGAGGAGTTCGCGGACGGAACCATCGTAATAGCCACGCGCTCGGTGGAGCACGAGGACTACCCGGAGACCCCGACGTTCGTCAGGGGCAAAATGGTGAGAGAGAGTCGTTTCGTGAGAGACGGGAAGTTTGTTGGGGGGGGGACAGGGGGGGCGCGGGGGTGTTTGTACAAGAGAGAAATGGGGTGGTAGACATACAGCAGAAAGGCCGGCAGAAGATGACGAAGACGAATAGAGAGAGAGAGAGAGAGAGAGAGAGAGAGGGTAGTAAGGAGTAAGGCTATTAGTCGGAGAGAGCATGTAGCGGTGATGAGGGTTTGCCCGACCCACTCAATTGGTGTTATGTATGTCACAACCCTCTGTTCTTATGTGCAGTCGTTCACGTCGGACCGATAACAACTTCCTGTATTTGCTACCGCTTTCACGTGTCATCTCTTTTCATTGGCCACGAAAGTACGCTCAAGGTCAACTGTGTTTTTTTGTTTGTTTTTGTTGACCACGACATACGGTTACGTCCTTTTTTGTTCGTTTTTTGTTTCACCACGAAAAAGACAACACACACTTAATTAAGGCCACCAGTTGTTTTTTGTTTGTTATGTTAACCACGACGTAACGGTCACCTGTTTTTTTTTTCCTTCTTGGCGAAAAAACACCTCACTTGAAGGTCACCTGCGGCTACGTCATCTGCCCCCTCGGCGAGAGCCGTAGACAACGGCGCGCCAGTAAGTCGATAAAGCCCTCCACCCCCCCGACGGCCAGCGGCGGCGACCCGGCGGCGGCCGGCGGGGGGGGCAGCTCGGCCGCAGCCGCCACGGCCGCCGCGGCGGGGGCGGGGTCGAGGTCCATGGAGCTGAGGCCCAGCAGCGAGTTCACGATGTACGCGCACACGGACCTCGGCGGTGTGTTACCGGCGAGCGTCATCAACAAGCTCTGCAAGAAGCCGGCGTACCGGGTGCTGCGGAAGGTGAGCCGTTTTTTGTTTTTTTTTTGCGCTGGCAAGAGTACAGTCGTGGCCCCGATATACGAGGGTACCTTGAAAGAGGGGACTCCCGATATATGTGGGTTGAAATCGGTTCTCTAGCACTCGACCCGCTTTTAAGTATAGTTGCTACTGTTCCGGCATAAGAGGGGGCTTCGATATATGAGGGTCGAGGACCTTGGCCACACCACCCTCTTATATCGGAGCCACGACTGCGGTGGTCTTAGACTCGTCCTCTTTTTTTTTTTCTTGTTCTTTGGGGAAGGGTAGTTAGTGGTCTAAGACGGGGCGGCGAGATTGAGTCTTTTGGTTGTTGGTGTTGCAGTTGTCCATTTGGCTCCAGCGCATGTGTGTGTTGGTTCTAGTGAAGGTCGTTGAAGGGGATGTTTGCCTTGTGCGAACCACAGTGCACTACCGCCCCGCCATTCTCTACATATGCGCCAAAACGGTCCTCCGAAGTATCTTGTATCCCACATTGGTAAATATTTAATATTTTCCTATGTGATGGGAGTCTGCACTCATGTCTCCCCACCCCCCCGTTTTCCCTTCTCGCATCATCTTCCGTACCAACTTGTTCCAACTCCGTCGTCCATATATATCTTGCAACAGATCCAGGACATGATCGCGACCGGCACGCTCGTAAAGCGCGGAGATGACGGGAGCTCCGCAGGGGGGAGTGCCGGGGGGGGGTGGCCGCTTGCCAGGTCCGGCTTGAACATGCCGAGAACGGATTCCGAGGACGTGCTGGGGTCGCTGCTGGCGGAGGGGATGCCGGACCGTGCGGCGGCCGCTAACCTTGAGAACGTGCCGGAAGGGGAGGTGCGTGCGTTATTGCGGCGGATGTTGGTGGTAGGGGGTGGAGTGGTGACTGTCGTTGTCGTGGTTATTGTTGTTGTTGGTGGTGGTGGTGATAGTTGTTGGGTTTGTCGATGTTATTGTTGGGGAAGGTAATCTGCTGGTGATGTTGTTGTTGTTGGTGATGTTGATGGTGATGGGGATGGTGAGTGCTGTTGCTGCCTTTGTTGATGCTTTTGTTTGGTGTTGTGTGGTGGTAGATGCTGTTGTTGTTGTTGTCGGCGGCGGCATTTGTGATGTTGAATGTTCTTGGTCGTGGAAGCGTTGGTTTGTTGCAGCTCTGGCGATGTTGGTTTAGGGGGATGGTTGTTTGTAAGTGCGGTATGCCGGGACTTGTCTCCCGTGTCGCTAGACAGCAGTGTCAAGAAGCATCACCCCCCCCCTGCATGTACACCATGGCGCCCCGCCCCCGCCCCCCCAGATGGAGGGCGTTGCTTCCGGCGCGGAAACGGAGACGATGGGCGGACACCAACGGCGAGGGTCTCACAGCAGCGGCGGCGGCGGGGCGAGCGGCGGGGGACGAAGAGGGAGCATGTCGCAGCAGGGGCAGTTACCGCCGGCGGCGGCGCCCTCCCGAGCGCCGTCCCCGTTCCTCCCGGGGCTGTCGCGAGCGTACGCGATCTCCGAGGCGCAGCGCATCATGAGGACGCTCAACAGGATGGCCTCGGATGAGGCCTTGGGGTGGTCTCAGCTGGGCGTGGCGGCTCACAGGTAAACAAACCCGCATCTTGGCCGATTCTTCACTTTCTCCAATATGTTTGTTTTTTGTGTTGTCTTGCATTTCTTCAACTCAGCGGCCACAGCATTATTGGTGCCGTTTACTCCAGCCCGTGGTCACACAGAAGGGTTCCTCTGCCTGAGGCCCCCTACTCGCCCCTCCTGCGGTATACGCTTTGCCTTCGATTCTTAATTCGAGAAGAGTGCAGCACTCTCTTCTCTCTGTGTACACACCACGAAGAAGCGCCTTCTACCCAGGCGAGGAAAACGAAAGCGAGAGAAAAAACTCACTTTGCAAGAAAAACTCGCTTACGCCGGGATTCGAACCCCTGACCCTGGCCACCAGAAGATTTTCGAGGATACCAACCAGACTACCCGGGGCGACCGGCATGTGTCTGCTTACAGTACCTGGAAAATCGTGCGTAGACTACCAGACGAAAACGGTGTGCTTCAAGCGGGGACGACTGCTGTACAGCAGCACTCATTTGTTTTTTCTTGTCTTAGTCGTTAAACGGTTGACCAGGCGTCACCCCTTCTTGAGACAGGACACCGTCAGTTCCTTCCCCTGGTAGACGCGCAGCCGACGGTCGGGCGCTTTTTGTCGTTTTTACCATATGTGTGCCGGTGGGGGTGGGTTCGGGCGGAGCCCCCTCTTTGTCGTGCCCTGTGACGGCAGTATTTTGTTGCCGTAGACCCCGGTAGACCCCGGTAGTGTAAACAAGTCGGAAAGGAGGACGTGTTTTGTTGGGGTATCGCTTGCGAAGCAGGTGATTGTCAAATCTACGAGCTAAGCGCCAGCAGGGACATGCCTATTTGGTTTGGGCAGTTTGGAGCGAGTGGTAAAAACGACAAAAAGCGCCCGACCGTCGGCTGCGCGTCTACCAGGGGAAGGAACTGACGGTGTCCTGTCTCAAGAAGGGGTGACGCCTGGTCAACCGTTTAACGACTAAGACAATAAAAAACAAATGAGTGCTGCTGTACAGCAGTCGTACCAACCACATCCGGGTATATTCCCCTCTGGTGGATGTCGTGCTGTTGCCACACGTTTTTGCTATTGTCTCTTGTTTCGGTGTGGAATTCCACGGTTAATTCCATGGTTCGCAGCCAAAGGGCAGAAGCATCGGCATAACTGTTGTATTGGAAACTACTGTCTCAATAACAATACGGAATGGCTCTGGATTCATGCCGGCCCTCGTCCCCCCCCCCCCCCAACCCTCACCCTGTCTGAACGCCTAATCACGCGATGGATCTCAGTGACATGGCGCTGTACAAGAGTCCCGTCGCCGGCACCAAGAAGGTTCGGCTGGGAGCGAGCACGTGCGTGAGCGCGCTGCCGTCGGAGCTGGTGGGAATCCTCTTGGAGAATGCGGCCATGCTGGGACCGGACTACATCGTCGACAGGCAGGAGGTGAGGAAGTCGGGGGGGAGAATTATTATGTCTCGTTTTCGTAAGAAAACACAAGAAAACTCACTGCAAAGACTTGAAAGACTTTTTAACACGTCCACTTCGGACGGGTAGTCTTTCAGCGATTGTATGTGTATTTTCTTCAATCACTCGGTGGTGTGTTGATGAGAAAGAAAATACTTCCTCCACTCACTGCTGTAAAGACTCCACCACATCCCGTTCGACTGTGGGTATATCTCGAATGGGTACTTGTAGTCTTTCTGTGTGTGTATTTATTTTTCCTTAATTATTTCCAACGGGGCTAAATAGTAATTGTTGCCAGTGAGTGTGGGGTGTAGTCATGTGCTCACTCTTGCCGTAGCCGAGTATCGGCGTTTTGTGCTCGTTTTTGTGACGATCGATGGGTGGTTTTGCGGTGCATATGACAGCAGTGTACTTTTTGTTGTTTACGCGCTATGTATGTAAATACGCTCAGCTGCTGGAGACGTTCAGCTCCGGCGTGAACACCGGGGAAGGGCTGGCGGATGCCGCGGCGAGGGCGGAAGGGGAAGGGCCGAAGCACGACACCGCCGTCTACTGGTTCAGCTGCACTCACAAGCGACAGGTACAGCAGTGTGCATGGGTGTCTGTATGTCTTACCTACACTGACCTCTGTTGGTGTTGGTACATGATGTAGGATCCCGTAAGGGTGTTGGTGTTATTCCAGGTGTCTACCTCTCACTAGGCCGACTTTCTGGTTCGTGACGCCTTTTGTTGACGACGAGGATATGGTGGATCTGCCGCCTGCTGTGAAGGGGCCGTAAGAGTAATTTACCACCGGTTGGGGGCAGGCGCGGCATGATTGCGCGTATGCTCGGGTGTTTCCTTTCCCTCGTTGGACTCAGCTGGGGAACAACGCTGCTGCTGCTGGTGCTGTTGCTGGTGCTGTTGTTTCCGTGGTCATGGGGGTGGAATTTGCCTCCGTTTTATGTATCAGGAGACGTTCTGGCCTCCACCGCCCTGTACCTTCGTGTCACTGCTGTAGATCGCGGCCACTATTGAACATTATATCGTAGGGTCTATCTACAGCAGGCAAAGATTTGCAGGCGGTGCTGGCGATCGAGCGGCTGTGCACGTGCGACCTTCGATCGTCGACGCCGACGCACAATTCGCTTCCGGATAGACCACCCTCACTCCTCTCCCCCCTCTCCCTTTCACTCTCCCGTGTGCGATCATCGCACCTCTTCTTGTGCGTGGTGCGTGGTCTTCGTCGCATGCCCCTTTTGGTTTTTGCTTCAGCGCATCTGCCGAGATTTCGTTATCCTGCGCTGCTTCCGCCCGCTGCCGGGATCCGGCGGGGTCATCGCCTACTCTTCTGTCGACCACCCCGGCCTACCACCGTGCCCGGACTACGTCCGCGGCAAGCTTGACGTCTCGGGGTGAGCATAAAATTCTTGGAAAGTTTCTCGCAGATCGGCTTTTTCAACAACGTATTGAGGGGTGGGGCTGCTGGATTGTGTGTTCCGCCCCTTTTTGTTTTTGTTCCTCGCTGAACCAGCTACTGCTGTATATCGAGTAAAACGGATATGTAGCAAATATGAATTAAGAGAATCGCGCTCCAAGTGCATTGATCAAGTCAAGACGGCCCCGTCGATCGCAGCAACCGCACCAGGCCGGCAGCGTCATCAAGCCAAAAGACCGACACAAAACGCCTTAAATCGTGCCCCCATTATGTTCCCTCCCGTCCCTTTGCTTCTGCCGCCGTCCACCACTTCTACCGCTCGTGTCCGCCCTCTCTTTCCTCCCCTGTGCGGCGCTTGTTCTTTCTTTCTTGGCCAAAAAAACGCTCCGCTCGCGAACAACGACAACGACAACAACGACAACAACAACAACAACACAGGTTCGTGATTCTGCCGAGCCCCCAAGAGGAGGGCGGCGGCAACGGCGACGACGACGGCGACGACGGGGAGGCCGCCCTCCACCACTCGGACGCTGAGCACAACCGCCGCGGCGGGCCTCGCCGAAAGAAGCGCCAGCGTTGGCGGGGAGGCAAAGGTGGAGGGGCGGCGGCGGCGGCGGCGGCGGGGCGCCGCCGCTCTCGGTCGTCTGCCTCGGCCATCGGCGACTACGTAGACTCGGACGAGGACGAGGACGAGGCGGAGGAGGAGGGGCCGAGGATGGGAAGGAGGGGAGGGGGGGGGAGGAGGAGGCGTACCCTGGTGAAGGGCGCGAATGAAGGGGGGGGTGGTGGTGGTGGCGTGAGCGAGGTTACGTTCTTCACGCACCTGACGTTCAGCGCGTACCTGCCGGATTTCCAGGAGATGGAGGCGTGCCGGCACTTCGTCGGGCCCTTGCACATCCTGCAGGTTTGTTGGCGCGTTTGCATCGCGAGCGTCTGCCTGCTTGCCTGCCTGCCTGCCTGTCTCATCACACGGAAGAAAACAAGTCGCGCAACAACACCAAACACGGAAATAGCAAAAGGGACGACAAGAATTCCACATCACCGAAAGGACACAAGACATCAATCGGTGGCTCGTGGTTACCCGCCGCAACCACAGTCAGTATGCAGCACTGGTACCCAGACCTCTTTCCAGCTTGACCAATAGTCGGTAGACCAACACCCGAAAGTTTAGCAGGTTAAACTATCATTTTTGAAGAGCAACATCAACAAAATAGCAGGCGCGCGGCCGCAACAGGATGCAGTCTAACGAACTACCTTCCTTATTTATAGTCTTAACGCCGTAACACTTCACACGAAACGAACGAATGACTCTAACAGGAGCTCAAGTGGGTCGTGGAGCGCACCCTTGGGTCGTTCCAGGAGGACGACGAGGTGCTGCACCACGGGGCCCCCAGGATGGGAGCGGGGGGCGCGGGAGGGGGGGCGGACTGGGGGCACATCTTGCCTCGAAGGAGGTAGAGTACCATTGGCACGTGTGTATTGGTTTTATTACATTTCTGCGGTCCGCAACAAATCGACGAGTATTTTGGTCCATGTTGGCGCCTTTCCTAACTTCCAAACAATAAATAGTGCAGTTCCCCAAAACCCAAGAGAATACGATGTTGGTACATGCGTTTCTTTTAATAAACATGGAAACATATGTTGTAGCCTACATATCCTCGTGGCAGTGAAGCAGAGAGTGTATTGTACATGTTCATGTTTACCTTGAGAACAGCGCCGACCTGACTCGGACGCACTAGTTTGCGCGAAGTATATTACTGGAAAGTGTGGTGGATATTTGTCAACATGCCATGCAACCAGCATGGGTTCTTCTAAGGTGTCCACGCCGTTCTACCACGCGTACCACCTCCCCCCCCCCCCCCCAGGTACCTGCCGTTGTCGTCCCCCCGATGTGTCGTCGATACCCTCACCTCAAACCGTTTAAATTTTTGTTTTTCTTGGTCTTCCTCAGGTCTTCGAGGTCCGAGAGACGGTCGTCCGTGGCCGCGGAGGAGCAGGAGGCGGGGGGGGCGGGGGCGGCCCGGGTGGACACCAGCGCGGGCGAGGAAGAAACGGAGGGCGGCACGATCGGTAAGTCCGCCACGCCAGGGCGAAGGATGGCGGTTGTCTCTGTCTCTTGTGTCTGTGTGTGTGTGTGTCTGTCTGTCTGTGTGTCTGTCTCTCTCTCTCTCTCTTTCACAGAGTGTCTCTGCCCGCGACGCGTTTGGTGTGTAGACGTATTGTACGTGTGTCTGTGTTCATGCCAATCTATCCGGACGCCGGTGTCTTACAAACGTGTGCCTGTGCCATGCAAAAGCTGTTGCTTGATGTTACTACTGGTGATGCTTCTATACATCTTTCTCGGCCCTCTGCCTCGTCGTGCCTTCATGGTGCCATCCGAGAAGACGGGGGAAATTTAAGACGAAAATCAACCAGCAGGGCAAGTGTGTGCGGATGATGTCCACTACGGCTACATTTATCCCCGTTTCCCCAACCTAGGGCATGTGTGATGTGTTGTGTCCGCTACACGCCGACATGCATGTCGCCGTTTCCCAACCTTCTCCCGCCGACCTCAATCTCGCCGCGTTTTTATACCGCGGACGCCGCCCTGCGCGCCACCAAAAGACTCTGGCTCGCTGTCGGACTCAGAGTCCGTCCCCGCTCGTGAGACAGCCATGGTGTCGAACGCCGTGCTGCTCAGGGTTGCCGCCAGGAGGGAGGCGATGCTGCGCGACATGCTGGCCTTTTCGAGCGACGGGGAGTGCATGGATGGCCCGCAGGTGGGGGTGTCGTTGTGATCGTTGTTGTCGTTGTCGTTGTTGTCGTGGCCGTTGTTGTTGTCGTTGTCATTGTCATGGTTGTTGTTGTTGTTCTCTATTGTTGTTACGTTGACAGTAAAAAGCGAGCTAGTCTCTGCTCAGCACCTTCTAAATATTAAAGATGGATGAATGTGGTTGGTTTATGGAAGTGACTCGCGTGGCGATTTGCGTCCTAAGCATGTCATCTAGTGCGTGCTCGACCGTCGAGCAACGCTGTGTGTGCGGGGGCATGTTGATTTTGGTGCTGAATTATTGACGGCTGGTGGTTGTGTATTGTTTCGCGGCAGTTTCATCGCAAGTCCGTGCTTTCGCTGAAAGCTGTTTGTTGTGCCCGCGTTTTTTTCTGGTAAAGCGACTCTTTTCCAGGCGTTTGTTTTTCTGCCCCTCTGTAATGCCCCACAAAGCGATACACACGCAAGCACGCCCGCGCGACAAGATTTCCAGAAAAAAATAAAATAGAAAAGTTTGACGTGGCCAAAATCCGCAGTGTTCTGACCTCAGATATAGAGATAGGAAACACAACGGAAGAAACCGCCAGCTTGCTTGCTTGATTGTTGTTGTGCCGTGCCAAACAAAGAGAGGCAGAGGGTCCAGGTACAGTCGGGAAGATGTGGATAAGCAGAGGAGAGGAGAGGCTGTCTGCGGTGGTGTCGTTTGTTTGTTGTCTCGTGGCCTCTCTCTTTCTACTTATTTTGTTTGCTCAACCTGCTGGAGCTGCTGGAGAGGAGACTGGAGACGGCAGAGAGAGAGAGGGAAGGCGTGAGAGACCTCAGGGTAGATCGGCAAAGACAAGCGCTTCAACAAAGAGCAAGAGAGATTACGTACCCACACACAAAACAAGGCGCCAGCAGCAGCAGCAGCAGGCACCATCAGACAGGGCAAAGCCGTACCGGACAAGTCTGCGTTGCTTGGTTGGGTGACATGCGGTGATGTTGCGTGACCCAACGCCACGGGAGTGAAGAAGAACCGGGGGGGGGTGCACTAAGAGCTCTCAGCCGCAGTGTAAATTCAGCCTCCGGCCGGTTTGGGGCGGAGGCTGAATTTCTCTGGTCGCCAACAGTGTTTTCCTCCGGTCCGTTATGGGTGTTTTTTGCCACGATGACTCTGGCAACTATAGCTCATGGTTTACCTACCTAAATCGCTGGTCTGCAGATAAATTTGGGTACATCGCTGATTTTTTAGTATCTCTAACTTGCCGTTGCTTCTGCCGTTTTTTTTTGTTTTTGTTTTCGCCACGGGTGTTTATTTAGGTGGATTGGCGTATCATCAAGGACAGCGACGGCCTCAAGCTGTGGCGCGCCACGGTGCCGGGCACGGTGTGGTGCATGATTCGCACCCGGGCGGCGGTGACGGCGCCCCCCCGCGAGGTGCTCACGTACCTGCTGAACGACTCGTGCATCCCGGACTACGACGAGCTGTTCGCGAAGATCGAGGTCGTCGAATCGATCGACGAGACTAGTGTCTTCAAGCGAACGTGAGTGTTTGTTTCCTACCGTACTTGATGAGCCTCCTTTTTTGTGATGTTTTTTTGTGCACCAGATTTGTTGCCTAGTTGGTTTGTTTGTTGCGTCTAGAAAAAAAGTATTATTTGATGGGTTTTTTGGTGCGCCAGAGAGGTGCTTTGTTCGAACGCTGGCGATGTGCTTGGCACGTGCAGTGTTGGATCGAGCCCCTTCCTCTCGAGCGACCAAAAGAGTCGGGAGCTCAATCTATCTAGGGCGAGCGCAGCACGGCACTTGCAAGTCTTGTTTCCGGGGTGAATCTGGTAATTTTGGGGTGCGAAACTTCCCTGCTGACGGGGTATCGTCGAACTTTCTTGCTCTTCATCGCGCCCCCCCACCCCACCCCATCCCACCCCCTTCCGTACCCGAGACATCTGTCCGGCACACCATCGCCGCGCTCGTATCTACTGCACAATCTTCTTCTAGTCTTGCAGTAACAGCTGTAACCCCCCCCCCCCTTCCTCGGCCATCGGTGATCGGTCCCGCGGGAACCATGCTCCGTCCGTCCTCTCGAGGACGCGTGGGCTAAGGCATGCAAAACACGAGTAAGCCCCCCCCTCCCCCCTAACCGCCCGTGGCCAATGGTCTAACGACTAAATACACGCATGCAAAACATGAGCATGAGTACCCCACCCCCCTCCCCCCCCCTTTGCAAGCAGATCTTACAAACCCATCTGGCCCACGGCCCCGCGGGATTTCTCCCTGCTATCTTCTTGGGGTACGCTTGAAGACGGCACGACCTACTTGCTCAACCGCTCGGTGGACCACCCGATGAACCCCCCGGTAAAGGTGAGAGAAGACATCGAAGAGAAACAATGGTGTCGAGAGCGAGGTGTTGTGCGAATCATGGCCGTGTGTCGGCGGCGGGGCTCCGGTGTGGTTTGTTGCACCGGGGGGGGAGGTGCTCATGTTTTTGCATGCCTTTGCGGTGGGACCATTGACCACGCGTCCTCGAGAGGACGGAGCATTGTTCCCGCAGGACCGATAACCGATTGCCAATCATTTCCGGGGTTGGGGGGTACTCACAATCATGCTACAAAGCCGGGACAGAGCATGCCGGGTTCTCACCGGACCAGGCTCTCACATCACCAAGCGCGAAGCGCCGTGACGTATTCGGCGAGTCGTATGAAGGGTGCGCTGCATCCTGCTACGAAATCTTGTGCTTACCTCCTTGTGTGCGGATGATAGCTGCGAAATATTCATTTCTTTTCTGGTGCTTTCACTTCCAGAGACAGTTATAAGCACTGTGTAACTACCTCGAGGGTGCTTGACCAATTTAACACAACGTGGTGCGATGATCCCCTTTGCGCGGAGCGAGGGTTCTCGACCACGCACAACATTATTTACTCAACCACCATTCATGGTTACCGCAAAAAATAAAGAGGAAAAAAAAAATCGGTAACCTGGTTGCCGAGCTCAAGAAGTGATCGGCTTGTTTTGCAACGTCATTGCCAGCGACGAAAACCCAACCCCGATGGCAAACACCGACGGGCGGGGGGGGGGGGTGCCATTCCTCTCTGCGGCACGACGTTTTTCTGTGTAGTTCCAAGTGGGCGCTGCTGTGTGGAGTGTGTGCCGGAGGAGCGTGTTTCGTGGAATCGAATAGCATGCACTAGATCGTCAACACCGGACCTAAATGCGGCGAAAACCTGCCTGTCGATCCCCAAACTGTATCCCCGTTCGCCGGTTACACCCGTACTGCTTCCCCGGCTTTCCGTCCGATCACCGTCGACGGCGCGGACGTCAGGGCCACGTACGCGGGATCGTTATGCTATGCGGTGAGAACTTGTCTGTATGCTCGTTTCCGCCTTTCTTTGCTTCGCCTGTGTGTTTTTTGTGTGTCCATTCTACTTTTCCTTCACGGCTGTTTCGTGTTTTTTTGTTCCACCGTTGCTTCACGGCAATGTGCTGCCCGCGATAGTGGTGCCTACGGCGGGCGGGCGTTTCCGGCTTGTTCGGACCGGGACCGCTGATCCTTTTTCCTCCCGGCAGGAAGGACACGAGCCGTTGACCCTCCACACTCCCGTTCTCGCTGCGATGATGACGCACAGTCATGGGCTGGCCATGGGGGTTATTGCCTTTTTGTCCTTGTGGATTCCTGTGCACTTAAGAGTAGAGGCTGATGGTGTGTGTGAATGTTGCGTGATGCGGCACCCCTCTTCGCCTTTCCCTCTCTCACTCTCCGCTTTTCGTGTCTTCGTGCCCCCCCCTATCTCGCTTGTGCCCCCCCCCCCCCCCCCCCCCCCCCCCAAAACCCCCCCCCCCCCCCACAAAAGATTTTTTATAGTTCCCCCCAGCCCCCCAACCCGGGGGGGGGGGCTTTTCCCCCATAATGTCACCAAAAAACTCGGGGG